TCATACGCGCAAAAGCTTGAAGAAGGCACTAGCAACCTCGAATCTTTTCAAGGAGAGCACAGCGTATGTCAAACCTTGGATTACTCCGAGCCATTAAAGATGGGATGGGCGCTAAAGTCACCCTCAGCCAGAAGACGCTTGACAGATGACCAAAAAGCATACCTTACGAAACATTTTGACATTGGAGAGAAGACAGGGCATAAAATAGATGCTGCTAACGTATCTTCTTTGATGAGAAAGGCCAGAAAAGCTGACGGCACACTTTTATTTGAAACGTCAGAATTCTTAACTGCAAGACAAATTTCAAGTTTCTTTTCTCGGCTGGCAAAAAAACGGAGACAGATTGGTGGAAGTAAAGATGATGGTGAAGATGATGATGATGACTACGAGAATGACGAATCTAATGTGCTCAACGAAAAACAATTGGACGAACTGCGCGAAAAGGTTTTAGATGAGCTTTCCATCTCACACCCTATTGTATACGAAACACATAATATATGTGAACTGGCTGCTGAATGTAAGCTGAACAAATTTCCAGTCAAAACACTCCAGGATATGTGTACATACTTCGAGAAAGAGCTAACACCCCCTAAAAAGAGAAAACAACCATACATTGACATTTTATGCGAACTGGTGAAAAATTGCACCTGTAACTGAGTAACGCATTTCAATAAGGTAAGTCACAAACATGCCAATTTTGACGGTCAAAACAGTGATTTTGCGAAACTAGGTCGTAATAAAACAAGAAAAAAAAATCGATGCAAAAATGAACATCGTGACCATATATATAGTTCCCCTCCCTGAATATTCTCCGCTACGGTACTTTTTTACAGTGATATATATATAGAAAGTAATTTGTACACAGATAAAAGAAAGCGACACATGCACGCTTGTCCTCTGTCGCAGTAAAGTTCTATCGAATTAATTAAATGGAGTGAATAATATGCAAATTACGCAAACCATAAACATCACTTTCAAATATTCATATGGTAACATAACATCAAAATAAGTTTATTTGCTACGAATACCATGTCAAGTTCAATAAGAAACGAATTGAGCTTAGAAATATGTATATATTTAAGTCAATTAAAGTTATTTTGCAGCGAAAGTAATTTGTGACGCTTCGATGATTTTGATTTTAAACACAATTTTTATTGAACTTTTGACCGGCTTTGTGCAGCAAATGAGCATTTGCCCAGAATTTTTTTTACATCAACTTAAAGCTCATTTATTCCGCTATCCTTTCCCTAAGTTTTAAAAAGTTTGAAGGTTTATCACATGGTGAAAATTTAATTTGATTTTGACAAAAAACACGCAACTGGAATAAAATTATTTCAWGTCCTAAAATTTAAGCAAATGTCATAAAAATCAGCAATAAGGAAGTTCAATGAGCAGTCAACAAGGTTTAAGGCTGATTGAGCCAAATAGTTTTTTATTTGTTGTAAACGAGCGGCTCAAACTTGGTATTGATTCTGTCTCTAAATCGGTCCATTTTAACGGGTGGTCATAAATCGCGATTTTCTTGAAAATAAAGAGAAAAAAATCCAAATAACCTTTACCCGTGTTATTGCCATACCATAAGGACTCTATTGGAGAAGTTTGAGCGAAATCGAATTTTCAGCCGTTGCCAAGTATTTTTGACTTTGTTTGATTTTTCCAGACATCGGCTCTTAAGGCGGCTAAATACGAGATACAAAAACCATCAACTTGGCGCGCAACATTGTTTCTGTTAAAGTTGAGTATCAAAGTTTCTCGTTTTTCATGCATCGTCAACTCAGTTGTGCAACAAAAATGCATCGTGAACACCGATGCTCAACTTGAACAGAAACAATCAGAAACTCATAAGGGGATTGAAACGTGTAGCACGGTCAGATGCTCCGGAATATTCAAAATGATTAGCATAATTTTGATACCATATTTGGGCTTAACGTTTGAGTTTGAGATGAAAACAAAATGGCGGACAGACGGCGGCAAAAAGTTGTCTCGTTTTAAATGGTTCTAAAATGTAGCTARAATGCTCAAAAGAGCTGAAAATCGTACAAAATCAACTGATTACCATCCAAAGGACATGGAATGAGGTATATTATTGTTCCAAATATGGTTGTAAAATGACTTCAGTTGATTTATTSGCRTTTTGAATATTCCGGAGCATCGAACCAAAGAAATGTACTGTTGCTACACGTTTCAATCTCCTTATGAGTTTCTGAAACAATGTTTTGTGCCAAGTTGAGGGTTTTTGTTTCTCGTATTTAGCCACCTTTAGGCTTAGGGTTGAGATTTGGCTTAGGGTTAGGCTTGTGCTAGGTCTTCATCGGGGCTTTGGGCTAGGGTTTTGACCTAGTACTAGTCACGTGACCAGCCTTCGCCAGCGAATTCAAACTCCAAAAATGAGATCTGCACGAAACATAGACCATGCTCAACTACCTAAAATTCTTTGGCTATGCTTTAACATGAAGATGACCATGACCCACAAACTTTAACTTTGTTGCGTTTTGTCAGAAGGCCCTAACGGTGGTCTAGATTTCAAGACAATGACCCCAATCTCTCTCGACTGCCTTCGTAGTTTTAGCTTAAACTTTGGGAAAGTAATCAAACTTGTTGTACAAACTGGTCCACAAAATTTCAAAACGAAATAGCGATAAACTGTGAACAATTCTTTTTTTATTTAGAAAAATCTAAAAAAGACGCGTCTATGACACTCCCATTCTCACCTAATCTATTAAAAATGAATTTATTATTAAAACATGATGTAATAATATTAATAATAATCTAAGCTTATAAAGCGCTTATAAAACTTTTTCTAAGCGCAAATAAAAAGGTAAAAATTAAGATATTAAGAAAATTAAAATAGAGTTACAGATCATAAGTTTGTTTAAAAAGGAAGGTTTTGAGAGCAGTTTTAAAATTGTCAAGTGAAGAAATGTCTCTGATTGAAGATGGCAGTGAATTCCATAGAAAAGGTCCAGCAACACTAAAAGAACGATAACCATAACTTTTAAGATTGTAAGACTTGGAAGACAGTAACAGTTGAGACGACGAACGAAGACAACGAGAAGGACCATAGTTTTTAAGCATATCTTGAACATAAACAGGAGCCAGGCCATGAAGAGCTTTAAAAGTCAGAAGGAGATTTTAAAAATTGATAATTGCGGAGACAGGAAGCCAGTGAAGATTGATAAGCAGAGGTGTAATGTGGTCATGTTTTTTAGAAAGCATGGCAAGACGAGCAAAGGCATTTTGAACAGCTTGTAGACGATCAATCAGATATTTAGGAAGGCCATATAGTAGAGAGTTGCAATTGTCAAGTTTAGATGATATGAACGAGTGAACAAGGATTTCCGTAGATTTAACAGACAGGAATTTTCTGATTCTTGAAATGTTTCGAAGATGATAAAAAGAGGATTTGCAGGACATTTTGATGTATTAATCTTTGGGTTCGCGCTGAGGATTTTGTGCACAGCAATTTAGAATACTTTGTGTCATTTAGGATTTTTATCAATTCAATTTTATTTTATTTTATTGATATTATTATATGATACAGAAGTTATGAATTCCATTCATCAAATTATTAAGAAAAAAGTTGCTGTAATCAAACCGATATTAAGCATGGTAGTCTATGTTATAACAAACAGCTATTTTAGAAAAACGTTGAGTACTGACGAGCCGTTGTATCTGTAACTTACAGATACAACGGCTCGTCAGTACTCAACGTTTTTCTAAAATATCTGTTTGTTATCAGTTCAGTACATTCGAAAGCTTAGCAATTAGTTTTAGAATTAATCATTTTGTAAGGTGGCTAATGTAAGTGTTTTATATTAACAATGCATTGCGGTCTTGGAATTTACAATTCAGAATAAAGTATTCATTTCAACGTTTTCAAAAATTGCTGTATGCCTGGAAAAAAACCTTTTTTAAATTACAAGAACGCTAAATGCAAGCCTTTGAATGAAACACTTGCCAAACAAGAACAAAATCGAACTGAACTTCCAACTTCCAACTGAACTTTGTAAGCTTGTTTTTACAATACGTCAGTCTAAGGATTCAAAATCAACTGTTTATTATTTCGAAAAATTATCTCCAAACTTGAACTCGGTTCCCATCATACTCAAGTACAAATACTCGACCATCTGGTGTAACAGCAACATCAATAGGACCATCCATTTGACCAAGACCTGAACCATAGCTACCAAAGGACCTTATGAACTGACCATCTTGACTGAAGACTTGCACGCGGTCGTTACGACAATCACAGACAAGAAGCATTTCTTTACCAAACACGGCAAATCCACCTACGACATCAAACTGCCCATCTTTCTTTCCTTTCTCTCCAAAACTGTACAACAGACGACCATTCTCGTTAAAAACATAAACAGTGTTCATATCTAAAAACGATACAAAGTACTTCTTGTTATCACAGGCTAAAGACAAAGGAATCCCATGACCATTATCAGGAACATCTAGTTTGATGTCAGTAAGGTGATCACCATTCTGTTCATCAAATGACTTTATAAATGTGTCTTTAGTATCCACATTAAAGCTCAAATACGCGATGTTTTGGTTATCTTTGCACATTCTTGTGATGAACATACTTTCAGTTTGTTTACAAAGAGTTCTGTTGTAAGTACCATTGATATCAAATTCCTTTATACAGCCACAGAGCTTATTATCTGGATCAATGTCGCTAACAAGTATTTGGTCTTTATTGAAGATTACGCGTATAAATGGAGAACTAAGTTGACTTTCTACAGATCCTGCACCACCAATCTCTCGAACATACTGTCCATCATCATCATTGAACAGCAAAACACGGAAATCGCTTTTCAAATCATTATTAACCACAGCTATGTCTCCTCTCTCACTTACAGCAAGTGAAAAAGGACTGAACAACTCTTTTAGATCAATTAATCTCAAGGGTTTCAACTCTACTCTAGCATCGATTGTCTCAATGTTCTGTGGTGAGTTTTTGATCTCTTCTCCTCCAATACTCACTACAACTTTGTACGGTGAAGGTTTCTCTGCTCTATATTTCACTGTGAATCTGCCAGTTTCAGTCTCGGTCAGTTCTTTCTGTACATCGTCGCCGTCAACATCTTGAATTTGTACATCAATTGAGCCTTTATTGGTATAGCAGACATTCCCTTCTGAATTTCTTGTCACGATTTTAAACTCGTTGATAAAACCACATCTGATGTTACTTACAGACTCGATAGAACAACGTGACGGGTCTGTCACGCTTTCCACCACCTCACCGAACTTCAGATTTTCCATAAAAGAAATCCCTTCCGGGTTGGGTTTGTAACACAGGCTGGAGTTGCGCTTGACAGGTTTGGTCGATAAGATGGATTTGTTTTGTAAGATAGCTTTACAAATTACTTGTAAATTCTCATAGNCTTTCTACAGATCCTGCACCACCAATCTCTCGAACATACTGTCCATCATCATCATTGAACAGCAAAACACGGAAATCGCTTTTCAAATCATTATTAACCACAGCTATGTCTCCTCTCTCACTTACAGCAAGTGAAAAAGGACTGAACAACTCTTTTAGATCAATTAATCTCAAGGGTTTCAACTCTACTCTAGCATCGATTGTCTCAATGTTCTGTGGTGAGTTTTTGATCTCTTCTCCTCCAATACTCACTACAACTTTGTACGGTGAAGGTTTCTCTGCTCTATATTTCACTGTGAATCTGCCAGTTTCAGTCTCGGTCAGTTCTTTCTGTACATCGTCGCCGTCAACATCTTGAATTTGTACATCAATTGAGCCTTTATTGGTATAGCAGACATTCCCTTCTGAATTTCTTGTCACGATTTTAAACTCGTTGATAAAACCACATCTGATGTTACTTACAGACTCGATAGAACAACGTGACGGGTCTGTCACGCTTTCCACCACCTCACCGAACTTCAGATTTTCCATAAAAGAAATCCCTTCCGGGTTGGGTTTGTAACACAGGCTGGAGTTGCGCTTGACAGGTTTGGTCGATAAGATGGATTTGTTTTGTAAGATAGCTTTACAAATTACTTGTAAATTCTCATAGTCTTCGGATCGAATATTGTTTTCAGACAAGAGTTTTTCACACTGATGTTTCAATTCAGCGACTTGTTGGATATGTGCGTTGACTTCACTTTTCTCGTCCTCGTTATCCCTTCGTTGTTCAACAAGGTTTTTTTCCAAGGAAGCAATCGTTGCGTCTTCGTGATCTTGTAATATTTTCATCAATGGACGTGTGTTATTTCGTACTTTTGCCTTTTCTGTGTCAGTCTCGCTTTGAATTCTACTCATATTCTCGTCGGATAGTTCCAGTTCTTTCTTGTATTTAGTAATAAGCTCATTCAAGCGATTCATGTCTTCCCTGATAAGCTTTTTAGCATCTTCTGTTAATTTCTCAGTCTTTACCTTGCCATGGCTACTGTGCGATTTTGCGATACACTTTTGGTATAGCTGAAGAAGCGAGTTGGACTGAAATGAAGAGGGAAGCTTCGAGATGTCACCTCCTTCGATTTTCACGACTATTCTGTAAGTTGGGCATCTCAGCCTCTTGCATTCTTTCTCGCAGGCCTCGTTCCATCTTTTGATGCAGGTGAAGCAGAAAGTATGTAGACACTGTAGTGCTCTTGGATCAGTAAAGATGTTATTACAAATAGCACAAGTTAACTGTGCTCCCAAGTCGTCGGTGATACTTAGTGAAGATGCTGCCATTGTTATTCTAAAAGAAGCTGGTCCTGTTTATATGGCATCAGTTTAACAGTTGACTAGTTATCACCACAGAAACCATGACAGAATCAAAGCAAAGCATATTTCAAACATTTTAACATTTCAATAACAAAATTGTTGAAATGGAACGAGTGCAATGTTGTAAACTCAAATAATGTGATTGTAGACAGAAAACAGCGTCGGGAACAACAACTTCTTTTTAATACTTGTTCGTGTTCTACAACCTCATGGTGTGTACTATGCGGGGTGGCCTTACAATCTAACAGGGGCCCTGAGGGGAGGGGTACAGGTTAATAAAGAAAAACTATAAAATTACAACATGCAACTAGTGGAAACTGCTATATTTAAACAATTTCTGCTGTTCGAAATCTAGTTCGAATACTTGAACTAGCACAAGAAAAATCAGTTTTAATTTCACATTATTTTCATTTCGAACCAGAATCTTTTTTAGTGTTTGTGAAAATAAAATAATGTCGTAAAATTTTGCCATTTTAGTTGCAGTCTTGCTTCATTTCACTGTTCAGAGAAATAGAGCCAGAATGCTACACAATATGACTTTTCTGTGTATAGAGCCTCCTCGTACTTCCTTCGTAATAATACATTTTGTTTTTCTCATCGTGGATGATGATCATGGAAATACATATCTTTTTGCCTAATCGTATGAGGAAGTGGCTGATCCCATTAAAGAGTGCTCAATACACATAAAGTGTAGAGCTAGTTATATATATGATATCAAAGAGGCAAGATTTTGCTGTAACTCCGAGTTTCGTGCTACGCACTCATCAGACAGTATTTAAGATTTTGCTGTAACTCCGAGTTTCGTGCTACGCACTCATCAGACAGTGTTTAATGATAAACATTCCTATAGCCTAGATATATATACATGGTATAGAACAAAAGGCTAAGTGTTAGGCTATTTACATACAATATGTGATAGTTATGCTAGAAACAATAGGTGTAAAGGTAAAAATTACAAAGGAGAGTATACTATCAAAAACCTGCGTAGGTGTGACTACAATAGGCTGTAGAGGTGTCAAGTGTTCTTCAGGTAGAATTTGTTTTCGTGTCGGTATTTAGAGATGAGTTCTGATCTTTTGTTTAGTATATTGTCGTTACTGTGTTTTAAAATTATCATAAGTTTTTCTGTAAGGCAGAGGTCGCATCGTTCAGCCTCTTCAACAAAAACAACGTAAAAGTCAGCTACAGCTGTATGGACAACATGAAAACAGTAATCAACAAACACAACATGAAAGTAACAAACGCCGACAACAACGCCAACACAACCACCGGAGAACAATGCAACTGCCGCGCATTTTGTAGGTTTCCGTTAGGTTTTCGTCGTTAAAAGCGATCTCTGGCAGTGCAGTGGACAAGATCTTAATAATGATAATCTATTGATTGATAATTGTTTTGCATACTCTCTGTGAAAAATACTTTTCAAACATTTGTGATTCATGATTTCAAAAATTACATAGAAATTCTGTTTTCAAATAATTGATGTCTACAATATTCATTGCACGGGTTTACTGCCATCAATGATGGGGACTCTGCATGTCATCAAGTATTTTATGAATTTTATTTCATATTTCAATTCACAAGCTTTTTGCAACATTTGTGCTTTTTACTTTTAAAATGTTACTCAGAAATTCCTTTTTCAAATAAATGATGTAAAAGTGAGGAAATAAAAACCCGCGAAAGAAAACTTCGAATATACTATCACAAGGAAAAGCATTGAAATTCGATCAATCCTTAGTCGATCTTGCGAATCTACCAGTATTGGATTGCGTATCTACGAGTATTGACTTGCGTACCTACCAGTATTGACTTGCGTATCTACCAGTATTGACTTGCGTACCTACGAGTATTTGCTTGCGTATCAACAAAGTGTACTGGCTTGCGTATCAAAGTGTACTGCCTTTCTTATCTACGAGTATTGGCTTGCGTATCTACCAGTATTGGCTTGCGTATCTACAATTATTGATTTGCGTATCTACCAGTATTGAAAAGCGTGTCTACCAGTTTTGGTTTCCGTATCTACCGCTCTTTGCTTGCACATCTACAAGTATTGGCTTGCGTATCAACGAGCATTGGATTCCGTATCTACCAGCATTGTCTTGCGTATCTAAAATTATTGGTATGCGTATCTATATAACCAGTACTGAATTGCGTACCTACAAGTATTGGCTTGCGCATCTACCAAAATTGAATTGCGTATCTACCAGTATTGGCTGGCGTATCTACCAGTATTGGCTTGCGTATCTACCAGTATTTGCTTGCGTATCTATAAGTATTAGCTTGCGTATCTACCAGTATTGGGTTACGTTTATACTAGTATAGGCATGCGTTGTGATTACGTGTGAATCTTGACTTATAATTTACCTCTTGTTTACGTTTTTTGATTTCCAAACTATTGCCACAAGAATAAGGTTCAGTGAATGAAATTTTCTCTCCAGTCGAGCAAAAACCCAAATTCCTAACTAATGTCAAAATATTGAGTATAATGTCAATAGTGAAAGGCCGATTTAGACGGTACAACTTTTGACCTCAACAATCGCATGCAACATGCCTAAGTCATCCTTACAACATGCCTACAATAGTCGTAGAGATTATAACAATTGTTTTATATCCTTACGACAGTTGTAGCCACGTTGTAATGATGACTTAGGCATGTTGCATGCGATTGATGTGGTCAAAAGTTGCATCGTCTAAATCGGCCTTAATTAATAGTCCTTACGCACACAATCATACTATAGGAAGCTCCTTTTCAACTATGTTCAGATTGTCAAAGTCTCAAAATTGCACTTACTATTTGTCATATTTGATTTGAGAACGTATATTGATTAATTATCAACAGCCTGAAATCGATCATTTTAAAGTGCCTATGTAACCTAGCCAAATCCAACATATATAAAAAATAGATATACTAAATCATGTATCTGTTGAAAAAAGTGAAGATTTGACGAAATCCAATTTTTTTTATGAGCTCTCAAAGTTTATCATAAGTGCTACAAAACCGAGCGATGCGGGGGATTGGGACTAGTGTTTTGATGACATAGTCATCCGGAACAACTGAAGTGTCAACAAGTATCAACAAACCAACATAAGAGAACGTTGAGTGCAATAGAGAAGAGCACAACTATGTCTTGCTGATATTCAACTGTTTCCATGAACCATCATAGTCTTCTCGATCAAACATGAAAATGCGTCCCGGACACTACGTCATCATTGTCGTTACCAAACCTCCCAAAGAAAGCTCAGCTCTTTCTCTTTGAACTGTCTTAATTTAGGAAAGTCCCCATAGAGAAAACAATAACTGGGCTTTGGAGGCGCTTTTTATGTATCATCATTATTTGCCTTTCATTATGTATTCAATTATTACATATTGCTGCATAGCATGTTTTGCCACTTTCGATTAAAAAAAGAAAAATTGCTGTAATTTATTCGTTCGAATACAAATACATAACATATGTTACAATTCCACACTATTTATATACGAAATCGAAAAATACGCAATCGTAGCCACATTGAATACTCTTGAATTTCATAAATTCAATTTCATTTTATTTTATTGATATTATTATATGATACAGAAGTACTGAATTTATTTATTATTTATTTTATGTCAGGTAGTTGTAGTCTATATGTGTTGTTTATAGAACGAGAGTGCTCTATTAGAAAACGTTGAATACTGACTCGACGAGCCGATGAATCAGTAAGACAGGAAACATTGCTGGTCGTTCTATCACCGTTCCAAAGGAGTTTTCGTGGTTTCAGAGTGAATACACCAGCTCCGTACAGTCAAACACTTCAGTGGAACGAAAAGTAATTAAGTTTAGAGTTTATCATTTTGCAAGTCAGCTAATGTAGAGTCTTATAGCAACAATGCATTGCGGTCTTGGAATTTACAGTGCAGAATACAGTATTCAGTGCAACGTTTTTCTAAAATTGCTGAATAATTTAGTAAAAATTAAACACCTTTTAAAAAAACACTAGAAGGTAGATTTTGAAACAATTCACTTGCCAAACAGAAAGAAAATCAAGCTGCACTTCACAAATGGGTGTTCTTACATGCGGGTTAATTTACGACACGCCTAAGTCAACTGATTTTTATTTCGAGAAATTATCTCCAAACATGAACTCGTTTTCCATCACACTCAAGTACAAATACTCGACCATCTGGTGTTACAGCAACATCAGCAGGAACATACATTTGACCAAGAGATGAACCATAGCTACCAAAGGACCTTATGAACTGACCATCTTGACTGAAGACTTGCACGCGGTGGTTATTACCATCGCAGATAAGAAGCATTTCTTTACCAAACACGGCAAGTCCAAGTGCACCCTTAAACTGACCATCTTTGTTGCCTTTCTCTCCACACTTGTACAACAGACGACCACCCTCGTTAAAAACATAAATAGTGTCCATATTGAAAAACTTTACAAAGTACTTATTGTTGTCTTGGGCTAAATACAAAGGAGGGCCATGACAATCATCAGGAACATCTAGTTTGATGTCAGGAAGATGATCACCGTTGTGTTGAGTAAACAACTTTATAAATGTGTCATTAGTATCGTCATTAAAGCTCAAATACGCGATGCTTTGATTCACTTTGCACATTCCTGTGATCCACGTTGAATATTGTTTACAAAGAGTTCTGTTGAAAGTACCGTTGATATCAAATTCTTTTATACAGGCGCCAGAGTCATTATCTTGAAAGTTGTCGCTGATAAGAATATGACCTCCATTTAAGATTACTCCATATGGATATCTCAGTTGACCGTCTCCACATCCCGCACCACCAATCTCTCGAACATACTCTCCATCAGCATTGAAAAACTCTACGCTGACATTCCCTTCACCATTATTATTGACCACAACTATTTCTCTAGTATCACTTACAGCAAGTGAAAGAGGCCTGGACATCTCTTTCAAATCAATTAATCTCAAGGAGTTAAACTCTGCTTTAGCATCAATTGTCTCA